AAAAAAAAAAAAAAAAGAAATTAATTGACCGAGTAAAGTCAGGCTCGCATGCATGATACACCACCACTGTCCGGACACCTGTTCACGTTTGCAGAAATCAGCCTTGGCAGAACCCCAGGCTTGGAAGGCAGGGCATCATGAACTGGCCTGAGTGCCCAAGGTAGAGGGGTGCCTCTAAGCCTGCCTTCCCTTCTTCCCCCGGGCAGCAGGCCGGCTGGGGAGGGGGGTCCAGATGGCAGAGCAGGCTGCTCTGGGCAGCTCTTCACTTCATCCTCACAGCAAGGCCCACCAGGCTCAGGCGCAGAGAGAGGCGGCCTCCCTTACCCCAGCTTGTCAGCTCGATCAGCCAGTGGCCCAGCCTGGGAGCCCCTGGCCTGGCTTGTCAGTAAAGCACAGGATTCCCCCAAGCCCACCACCCTCAGAAGAAGGATGCCGGGCTAGATGGCCAACAAGAGGGAAGGAGGTGAGAATAAATGCCCTTATCCACACCTTGGCCCTGAGCATTCAGGCCTGAGAAGAAATAGTTACTAACTAGCTCTACGCCTGGAGCTAAAGCAGGGCCAGGAAGGATCATCAGGGGCCCCAGGCATGTGCGTGTATATGCATGTGTGTGTGCATGAGAGTATACACAGCTGTCCGTGTGCCGCCGAGCAGGTGGAACTTTCTGTGAGTCTGTGAGTGTTGCACAGCTGAAACCAGACCATACCTGCAGGAGTATATGTATGTGACAGGGCGAAGCCACATCAGCCTATGTAGGAATGAGACTTGACGTGCCTCGTATACGGTGTTTGCTTGGTATGATTATGTCCATCTGGATTTAAGTGTGTGTGTGTGTGTGTGTTTGAAGAGTATTCAACTCCTCCGGGAGGTCCTCCTGGATACCCAACCTGAAGTGGGCCTCACCATTTTGCTCTTTTGACACAGCCTTCTATTTCTATCACAGTCCTAATCATAATTTGTTATATATTTATTTGTTTATGTTGTTTCTTTTTCTGTCTTCTCCATTATATGGCACCTCTGTGGGAGCAGAGAGTTTTGTTCTGTTCCCTGCTGTCCCCAGCAACTGGCATATAGTAGTAGGTTGAATAAATGCCCGTTGAGTAGATATTCATCATAGGGCTGTGTCTGTGCGGTATAGAGAGGCGGGAGCTGGCTGTGTATCGTTAGTTCCTGGGGGGGGGGGAGCGCTGTGCTCAAATCTAGCCTTCACTTTCTTCCTTTCCCCTTCCTTCAGCCACGCTCACTTTATGGGAATGATGATACTCCATCAACTCCCTGTATTGCCTTTGACAAGCTCTTTCCCCTTTTCTGGGTCTTAGGGACTCACTTACCCCATCTGTACAATGGGAGGGAGGTGGATTGGTTCATGATAAGCCTCCTTCCTGACCTAAAGTACTATGAAAATAGTCTTGATCTAATACCCTAATTCATTCAACATTTAATGAGCACCTACTGTGTGCCAGGCACTGTTCTGGCCCTGGCCCTCCCTCATATAAGGAGCTGAATGAAGGGCATGAATAAGGCAGATACCAACCAGAAACCCCATTCCATCTCGAGCACCCTTACCCCCAGTCACTCTCTATGCCCTATGAGATTTTAGTCTTTACAGTCTCAAATCACCAGTGGGTATTCCTCGCTTTACACACTGATCTTTCTCCCTCACCAGCCTCAGGTATAAGCACAGCAAACAGCCGGCTGTTTTTGCTGGTTGCTGTAGCCCCACCACCTGGCTGCAGTGCTGGGGCACATAGTAGGCACTTGGAAATATGTGTGAAATGAGCTAAGAAATTAATTGACCGAGTAAAGTCAGGCTCGCATGCATGACCTCAGGGAATCCTCCGTGTCGTTACCCACTTTGCAGAAGAGGAAATTGAGGCTCAGGGAGGCAGAGCTCATGCCGGGGTCCCACCGCTGCTAAGTAGTGTGTGGCTGTGGGATGCAGCAGAGAAAGCTTGGATAGTCCAGAGGACCACTAGCAGCCGCCCACCCCCACCTCACAGGTACGCGAGACACAGCAGAAGATGCGCCGATGGTGGTGGTGTGAGAAACCGAGGGTCGGTGCAAAGCGACTCAGAGGGCTGTCTCAGTACCCAGGTGGACATGCTGTGCTGGCAGATTAGGAAAGTCTTGGCGCTTATGGGGAAGCTTCCGGCGCCCTGTCCCCAATTCTGGGAGCTCAGGCTCCCAGGACCCCGTTTCACAGGGGCCCGTCGGCTCCAGTCTCGGAAGCCAGGGAAAGACCTCCGCGGAAACCCGGGAATCTCTGGCATCTGGGGTCCTCTCCGCACACCCACAGCCCGGAGGCCGGCCTGAAGCCCTCAAAGGGCGTACCGGTGGGCGCCGGCTTTCTTGGGGAGCGGAGAACCCCACAGCGTCCTGGTCCCCTCCCTCCGGGGTGCCGGGTCCCCTTCCCCACCGCAGCTTGCAGCCCCGAAGCTTACCTTGCAGAGGGGCTGGGGAGGGGATGCCCCGCCCTCTCCGGCCTGAGGGGCGGGAGGGGACAGGGGTGTCCAGACCCTTTGTTTGCTGTTGTGTGTGTATGTGTGTGTGCGCGACTGTGAGACCCGCTGGGGTGTGGGTCCGTGCGCGCGCGTGCCCGGGCCTTGACGGCCGCGGAGATGCTGGACAGCCTGGCCAGCAGGGGGAGGGGGAGGAGAGGGGGACTCCCCCGCCCCCGCCCGCCCACTCGCGGGTTTGAAAGATGCTCGAGGGGGAGGGGAGGCAGCGGGCGGGCGCTTTTGTCTGGATGGCCCCTCCCCTTCCCTGGGCAGGGGAATCCCCCCATCTCGAGTCCTTTAATACATTCCCTCCAGCCCCCTCTCTCCAAACACCCTCTCAAACACTAGTCTGGGAAAAAGCGCCCCTCACTCGAGGGGCCGGAGCTCCTCCCATCCCACCCGCCCCCACGGAACGCCCTTTAATCTGAGATAATCCTGGCTCTAGGCTGCAACACGGCCTTTTATCCCAGTATCAAAACGAAGGTTGGAATGCACGCAAGTGTGCAGCTGGGGTCGCCCAAGCTCGCAGTAATGGAGTCTTTAGAGCCCCCGCCAACTAAGGGGGCTCCAGACCGAAGGGGAGGGGCTACGAACGATTCTAGAGTACCACCACGAGGAAAGCTTCCATCCGCACCTCCACGATCCCCTTCCCGTCCCCCGGCTGCGCGGGGCTGAAGCACAGGCCTTTGGCTAGACATTAGCGACACCCAGCGACCACACGGGGAGACGCCGCGGACAAGAGCGCGAGATCCGTTGGCTTGGGTGCGGGAGGAGGGTCCGGGTAATTTTAGAGGTGGCGTGTGTGCGCGAATCCCCGCTCACGAATGGCAGAGGATGGTGACGTGAGGGGGAGGCTGTGGGCCGAGCCAGGGAAACACCAGGTCCCAAGGCAGGACCACATCGCCCCCACATCCGACCCCCCAAGGGCAGGGCCATATCCCTCCTCCGCTTAGACCTTTCCAGGGCAGGGTCCTGTACCCCTAAGACTGGGAAAATGCTCTGATCAGACACCCCTCCCCAGCGCAGGGTTAGGTCCTTTTCTCCGGGGGCAGGGGGAGAGGTCTTCCCGCCGAAGCCCGCCCCTGCAGTAGGCTCGGGCTGACGTCACTGCGGCGTGGCTAAGGGGACAATCCCCTGCTTCAGTCTCGCCACCTGCCCCGCCCCTCGCGGCCGCCGCAAACGCCCACCGGGGAGCAGCGGGAGATGAGGGGGGCTCGAGTTTGGAACGCCAGCCCATATACCTCCAAGGGATGCCCAGCGGATGCCCCGCGCCCAATGAGGCGGGGTCCTTACGGGGACTCCCGGGGGCCGGAACACGTGCGCCTGACCCTTTAAGGCAAGCCGGGTCGCCACTGCCGCCACCGCGGTTACTAGGGATATAACGTCATGCGCGGGCGGGAACGTGCGCGCCAGGGCGGAAGCGGAAGGGGCGGGGCTCCGCAGGCCGAGTCTCCAGCGCTGCAGCCGCCAGAGTCAGACCCGGAGCCGGAGCGGGCTGAGCCGCCGAGGCAAGATGGTGGACTATAGCGTGTGGGACCACATCGAGGTGTCTGACGATGAGGACGAGACGCACCCCAACATCGACACGGCCAGCCTCTTCCGCTGGCGGCACCAGGTAGAATGCGCGTGCCCATCCCCTTCCCCCCACCCCCCCCCCCGCCCGGGACTCCGCTCCAGAGTTCTGACCCCTGGTACTGCCAGGGACCCCCACATTGACACCTGGGATTCCCAACGCATAGTCTGTACTTACAGTATCGCTTGAGGGGTTCCTCGATTCAACTCCAGAGCGCAGAACTGCCAGGGCGCTGCGTCCCTACCAGAGATCCCGGGCCTCCCCTCCGATTTCTGCATGGAACTCCCAGTTGACCCCTAGGGCACCTTTTTCCGAGTCTAAGCTGCTAAGATAAGCTTTGGGGGTGTTCCCTCAATCCCTTCTGGGACCTTCCACTTACACGCAGAACTCTGCCTCAGAGTCTGGACCCTGATCTGTTCTGGGAGACGTTTCTGATCTTGGATATACCATCCGCCACTCCCCAAATCCTAGAGTCCTCAGTACTTTGAATTTATTCTGAGATCTTCCTCCCTAGTTCTTGACAGGGATTCCTATTCAGATCCAGAGATCTGGCTTCTCCTCCCAACAGAACAAGGAACTCTGTCCTCTCCTGAGATTTCTGTTTCTGGCTAGGGAGTCCAACCCATACCGGGGACCCCTTGCCTAGAATGTAGACCGGTGCTCCACCAGGGCCTTAATTCTCATTCAGGACTGGAGTTTTGGAACCCATTTTCTCTCCAGACCAAACCACCGGTTCGACCCTGATGGAGCCTTCCAATTCCAGCCACTCGTTAGTGTCACTTACTGTGGATCCCATTTCCCATTATACCAGGAAACCCTACCCTGCAGGGCTTCCGGCCGGTCTAGAGCCCCTGCCCCTCCTTGGTATTGCAGGCCAGACACCACCCACCCCCAGCAGTTTCCTGTAGGAGCCTCTGGCAGCCTTGGAAGGCCTTATACCAACTCCAGTCCAGCACCCAAACCCACCCGGCCTTCATCCTGACCCCAGCTCAGTCTGCTGCTCTCAGACACCCAGACTGTCCCTGCTCTCACTAGGGACCCTCCCAATTTGATTCCAGATTTACTGCCCCTTCTGTTACCTATTTGCCCCCAAATCTGGATCCCAGAATCCTGTCTGGGTGTCCTCCAGCCTTTCTCCCTGCCCAGCAGTGCTCACAGGCCAGCAGAAGAGCTCATAAGTCCTAACACTCTAACCTCTTGCTCCCCCAAATCAGAGCTCCTACACCCATATACTTGTGTATGTTGTACTCTCCCACTGAGGGTGAGCTATCTCACAGAACCTTCCAGTTAGGAATTCCTCACCCCACCCTCGCCTATGGCAACTCCCAGTCATTTATCCAGAACCTCCTAGAAGGGCCCTTCCCCGGTCCTGTGTTGTCTAGTCCCTACATCTGGTCTCCAGTCCCATTTCCAACCCTTACCCTAAAGCAGTAATCTTCTTGGGTAGCGTACCTGCCAGGCAAGCCACTGAGTGTAAGAAGAAAGTTCTAGCACTTCCATTTCTTGCTGTAACATTTTATTATGAAATGCTTGAGACCTGCGCAGAGCTCTAAAAAGACTATTCTTGGGAACACCTACTTTTCTCACATAAAGAGGTTAATCTATACAGCTGTATGGAGAACATTTTGGTCCTGCTGGGTGGGAAGCCAGCGCCCCGTCTCCTGCAGAGTCCTCCCCGCCACGCCTTCCTCCCTCCTGGCACAGGACCCTTTCCTGTCCTGCTGAGGACCCTGGAGCTGTAGTGGAGCCTAGTGAGGGTGGGGGTGGGGGAGGGAAGATAAGCATCTCCAGCACCAGCTTCGGTTCGGCAAGCCTGGGTTCTAATCCCAGCCCTACCACTTACTGCTTTTACTTTCCCTGCCCCTAGAGACCATCCTGAGAATGAAACGAGAGTAGGCCCGACAAGAACTTGGCTCAGGGCCTGGAAGGGAGTAAGCATATGGGAGCGGGAGGTGGGATTAGTAAGAAGGAGCCTGGTGAGCTTCTGAGCACAGGCCTGCACACCTAGGTTCCAGTCCTGGCTCCGGAATCACTGACTTAATGGATGACCTCCGGCGACTCGTTTGATCTCTTTGTGCCTCGGTTTCCCCAGCTGGGAATATTAAGGGTATCCACCTGATCGGGTTCTTATGAGGGGTTATCTTATTTATTTAATGTGTGTGATGTCTTTGGGATAGATAGCATCTGGCATGTGATAAGCTCTCTGTAAACTTTAGTCGTTATCATCATTGTTGTTATTCAGATAATCTGTGCTCCTGGGAAAGAAAAAATCTGGAAGCACCAGAAAGAGACAAGGGAGTCTCCCAGCCCCCTGCTCCTTTGTCCTGATAGAGCTGCTGTTACTGGTTTCTTGTGATTCCTTTCATCGAACTGGATGGCACTGAGGTTCTGGGAGCCTCAGGGTTTCTTTCTTTCTTTTTCTTTTTTAAGGTTTTATTTATTTGACAGAGAGAGAGAGAGCGAGAGAGGGAACA